AGCGCCTACCAGGAGCGGAGGCGAGAACACTGCCTTCACTGGTTGAGTTAGAGACGAATGCCAGATGCAGCGTAACCGGGAGCGGGTGCGGGAACACAGCCTTCACCAGCTACCTGCTTAACGGAGAAACAAGGCAGTTCCGCGTCTACCAGGAGCGGGGGCGAGAACACTGCCTTCACTGGTTGAGTTAGAGAAGAATGCCAGATGCAGCGTAACCGGGAGCGGGTGCGGGAACACAGCCTTCACCAGCTACCTGCTTAACAGAAAAACAAGGCAGTTCAGCGTCTACCAGGAGCGGGGGCGAGAACTGCCTTCACTGGTTGAGTTAGAGACGAACGCCAGATGCAGCGTAACCGGGAGCGGGTGCGGGAACACAGCCTTCACTGGCTACATGCTTAATGGAAAAACGAGGCAGTTTGGCGTCTACCAGGAGCGGGGGCGAGAACACTGCCTTCATTGGTTGAGTTAGAGACGAATGCCAGATGCAGCGTAACCGGGAACGGGTGCGGGAACACAGCCTTCACCGGCTACCTGCTTAACGGAAAAGCGAGGCAGTTCAGCGTCTACCAGGAGCGGGGGCGAGAACACTGCCTTCACTGGTTGAGTTAGAGATGAATGCCAGATGCAGCGGGAGCGGGTGCGGGAACACAGCCTTCACCAGCTACCTGCTGAACGGGAAGAGTAGAGCGGTGCTACTACTCGCCGAACAGAAAAAGGGATGTAGCTACATCTGCATTACCGGTAGAGGGAGCGGGAGCGGGAGCGGGAGCGGGAGCGAGAGCACTGCCTTCACCTAGCTGGGTAAAATAAAGAAGTTTAACAGTACACGCAAGACGTTAGCCGAGCGGCTGCTGCTAACGATCAAGCGAGATCAAGTCAAATAACACACAAGTTTAAGACCAGATAACTAGCTTCTAAAGAAGAGAACAGCACAGAGCCGTAGTTACAGCAGTAACCATGGCCAGTGCTCACACGGCATATAACCGTAGTTACAGTAGTAACTATGGCCAGTACTTACACGGCTTAGAACCGTAGTTACAGTCGTAACTATGGCCAGAACTTACACAGCATAGAGCCGTAGTTACAGTAGTAACTCTGGCCAGTACTTGCACGGCTTGGAACCGTAGTTACAGTAGTAACTATGGCCAGTACTTACATGGCTTAGAACCGTAGTTACAGTAGTAACTATGGCCAGTACTTACACAGCATAGAGCCGTAGTTACGGTATTGACTATGGCCAGTACTTACACGGCTTGGAACCGTAGTTACAGTAGTAATTATGGCCAGTACTTACGGCTTAGAACCTTAGTTACAGTAGTAACTGTGGCCGGTGCTTAAAAGTGTCAGCCGGCTGCCCACTAGATAATATAATATTGGGAGGATGAAATCCTCCTTAATGGCCACACATGCAGAGCACACAGCACACACAGTGAAGATTGTTCTCTGCATATCGTCCTAGTGCTAGGAGTCTAGTACTAGGAGCAGTAAATACAACGATATAGCGCTACTGCAACCATACCAAATGCGTTTACCGGGAGCGGGAGCGAGAGCACTGCCCTCACCGGCTGAGTTAAATAATTAAGCCTAACAGTACATGCAAGGTGTTAGCCAAGCGGCTGCTGCTAACAATCAAGCAACCAAGTCAGAACACAATGTTAAGACCAGATAATTAGCTTCTAAGAAAGAGAACAGCCCGCATAGAACCGTAGGCCATGGTTACAGTAGTAACCGCACATGCAGAGCACACAGCACCCCAAGCCCGTCTTAACCTGCCATCAGGCCCTGGGGCTGATTGTAGGGCTTTTGTAGGCCCCCTATTTAAACAACAAATCAAAGTCATTTATAGCCTCGGCAGGCTCTGTGATCGCACTTCTCCACTCTGCTCTACGCACGCCTGGTCCTCTCCTCCAGATGAGTGACGTAGCGGGCCTCCCTCATGTATTTGTCCGGTTGCCGTTGGCCCCCCTCCACGTAGCAAGTGCTCGTCGTCCTCTCCATCTCCTCCAACAGATAATGTTCCTCCTTTTCCCGGGGAAAACACTCACGAGAAACACCGGCTGTTGTTATGCCTGCTGTGACGTCAAGTTACTCTGTTCTCCGCTTGTAATTATGCCGTTACGAGCTTCAAAGTTGTATTTATCATCTGAATTTGCCGAAACAAGTTTAATATTCTGAAAGCCAAGATTTTGTTTATTTGAAATCAGATGAAAACAAACTGTAACGGACCCTGCCGTATTATCTATGATTACTATACGCCTTACATTCATAATTTCAGCGGAGTGAGGGGAACAGTAGAACAGCAGAGTGGCGACGGAGAGCTGTCTTCTTCCCTTTACAAGCTTCAACAATTTATTTATCGTGTGATTTTGGAAATGAAAATTTCATATTCTGAAAGCCAAGACTTTGTTTATTCAAAATGTTTTAAAAAAAACATCCGAAATATTCTTTTTTTGTATTGGCTCATGATAGGCCCCCGATCTCCGTAGGCCCCTGGGCTTCAGCCCAGGTCAGCCCGTGCATTAAGGCGGCCCTGAGCACCCGCAGTGAAGATGTTCTCTGCATATCATCCTAGTGCTAGGAGTCTAGTACTAGGAGCCGTAATACAACGATCTAGCGCTACTGCAATCAAACCCTATGTTACCGGGAGCGGGAGCACTGTCCTCACCGGCTGAGTTAATAGTTAAGCTTAACAGCAAGGTGTTAGCCAAGCGGCTGCTGCTAACAATCAAGCGACCAAGTCAGAACACAAATGTCAAGACCAAATAGCTTCTAAGAAATAGAAAGTACTTACCTTACTCTCTGCATCTAAACGAAAAACGGGTTTAAAATATGACACTGGGCTTTCCATACTAAATTGAATGAGGGACACAGCCAAAGCTTGGACTCAAATGCTAATGATAGCTCGGGCACAACGCCACAAGCAGAACTTTCAAAAGAGCATAAGGGCAACTTTATGGGAGAGGAAGCGGGAACACTGTCGTCACCAGAAAGTCTAATTAGCCAAACAAAACATAAGACGGCAATCAGGACAACTTGGCTGGGAGAGGGTGCGGGGACACAGCCATCACCAGCAACAAGCTGACACAAACCTGTCTGTGTCGAGGCTCTGCACAGCGCACAGCCGGCCACAGCTCCTGGAGGACGCGTTAACGACCCGTAGCTCCGACTGTCAGTCGCGAAGCTGCACGCGGCCAGCTGCTTGCAGAGCAATCCCTCAGATCAAACGTTCAAACCTGAACGCTGTAGGCTACAAAAATGTAGCCACGGTCCTCTCGCGCAGCGAGAAGATGAAAGGAACAGATCCTCTGATGACACCGGCTGATATAGCCGGTGTCACGTGGGTCCATGCCCGGCGCCGTGGGAGGGCCAGGCCCTCCCATTTGACATTCTTGCCCTCCCCCAATAAACACGATTTTTATTATTTATAAAAATAAAAACATATTTTTTTTAATTTTGTTTGTTATAAATAAACTCACACTCTGCCGCCTATTCTGGATTTGTTTATTGTGCATTCTGTAGACTCCCATTTATGTTTGAATTACACAATGGACATCAGAAATTGGCTCAAAAGGTCTAAGGATTTATTAAAACGAAATAGCGATGAAAGAACTGCAGCCGATGCAGCTGCTGGCGACCCTGCACCTGCCGTTGCAGCAGCACGCCTTGCCTCGGCAAACCCCGGGGCTGAGTTAGCGAGCCCAAGCCTTGACTCATCAAGGCAGCCGCCACCAACGCTGTCCTCCGAGGCACAGCTCCTTGTGCCACTGCCCCTACCATCACCACCTGCGTTGCCAAACCCTGTACCACACCCTGTACCACACCCGCCAGCATCCTCCTCCTGCTCCGTGCCGGTGCCTCCGCTATAGACGCTACCTTGCAGCACATCAACAGGTACTATTGGGCCAGCAACCGCTCAAAGACCAACAGCCCCAGATGATCTTAGGGTTAATAAACCCAAGGTGAAACTGGATCGTTATCCAGGGAGATTGTTTTCAGGAAAGAAGCGCACTTTTGCCACTGCATGGTACAACAACAGACCATGGCTTGAATATTCGTTAAAAGCAGACGCAGCCTTTTGTTTCCCCTGATGCGGCTTTTACTGTCAAAGGTTTTTGCGACTGGAAACACGCATTACAGACTGATAAAGGACTGCTAAGACATTCCGCATCAAAAGAACACATTTCATGTCTGTGAGAGTTTGCGGAGAGAGAGACAGATACGCGAGGAAACAAATAAGGAAATTAGTACTTTGGTGCAGATCAGCTGGCACGGAACCGTTATTACGTTTATTTCTATGTTGCCCTTTATTTGTGTATGTATTTGCGATAAGTGTGCATCTTTGCGCAATGCTGTTGGCCTTGCTGTTTGATATATATATATTGTGCCACAGGCCCGCAGCACGTGACGATGTTGTGTGCCCTCCCATGAAAATCATATGCCCTCCCTTTAGATTTGTTCTGGCGCCGGGTCTGCGTGGGTCACAGGTGACTTTGTTGTTATTGGTACTCGAGCTGCGCATGCGCGCGATGGACATATCCAGTGCTTAAAGCACCGGCTCTGGCGGTCAGTAGGGACTAAATAGAACTTGACTTAGGCCTATATAAAAAATGATGTGTTAAATCTGAGAACATCATTTTTGAAAATTCTGAAACATATTTCTTTAACTGTTTTAATACGGACATTCTTAATAAAATCACATATTTATTTTATATCAGAACGTTTTTTCTCAAATTTAAAGACACGATTTATCAAATATTTGTGTTAATGTTTTTTCTTTTATGATTATTTTTGGTCATGACCTCATTGTTAAAATGAAAAGAAAAGCCTTGTATTCGATTCAGCACTTTTTTCAGAATCCTGCAATGATGTGGAAAACTGCAGTGAATGTCATGTGTGATATATAATATAAAGACACACATACACACCATGATACACACACACACACACACACACACGCGCACAAACAGACCTGCACCCATATGCTACAGTGAGTCCTGTGATGATGGGGACGTCATCATGATCTCCCCTTCTCTCTCACTCTCATCCACAGGCTTTATTGATAACCGTAGTGCAGTTCATGTATTTTATGTAATAATGTGCTTGTTGTGTATCTAGCTGACACGTTTAGCACATCTACGTAGTTATTTTAAAACTATCTCAGGGTAAAGAGCCAACAGCTGCAAGCTAACAGTAGCTTTAGCTGAGGTGCAGTGCAGCTAGCTAACGGTACAGCTGTTGACTCCACCGACTCTCCGTCCATCCCGCTGCCGAAGAAGAGGAGCAAATGAACGAGCTGGTGAAGAGTCTGCCGTCCCCGACTCTCCCGGGGCTGCACCTGACCTGTCTGGACAGCGGGACCTACAAAGGCTGGCTCTTTAAATGGACCAACTACCTGAAGGGTTACCAGCGGCGGTGGTTCGTCCTTAGCAACGGCCTGCTGTCCTACTACAGGTAACGGTAACTAACGGTTACTGCAGCGACCGTTCGTTGGTGTACACCTGTCCCAACAGATGGGAGCACTCAGATATTGTACTTAAGTAAAAGTAGAAGTACTATAGTGTAGGAATACTCTGTTATATGTAAAAGTCCTGCATTCAAAATGTTAATCAAGTAAAAGTACCAACGTATTGGCATCAAATTATACTTAAAGGACCAAAAGTAGGCCTACTCATTATGCAGATTGGCCAATTTCAGAATGATATTATGTGTTGATTATAATTACTGATACATTCATATGTTTACCATAACTGGTAAAGCCTAAAGGTGTTATTGCTGGAGTTTGTGAATTTAGGCAAGTGCAAATAAAGTCTTTGTTGATTATATTTCACGTCATTAATCTAAATCTTCAAAGTAACAGGTATTATATTAATGTAGTGGAAAAGTACAATATTTACCTCTGAATTAAAGTGGAGTAGTACCTCAAAGTTATACTTAAGTACAGTACTTGAGTAAATGTACCTTAGTTACTTTACACCACTGCCTGTCGCTTTAAATAGCCTGTATTGATTCGATAAATGTCAACATTTTGTAATTGTTAAACGTACAAGCAGCAGGTTGGCAAATAAAAACGTTTTAACGTTTAAGGTTATGTTGATTATGTAGCCATAGCCAAATAGCTGTGCTCTGACTGATGCCAGTTTAGCTCCAAAAATCACCTGAGTCATATTCATAAGATGGATATTGAAGATTCAGGAGTTGTCAATATTTAACTAGTTATCAGCTATCCTTAGTTACATACAGTGTTCTTGCTACACTGTATTTCATTTCAGCAGTTTCTTTATTGGATATTCTATTTCCTTTTCCATAACTTCCTGTTGTGTTTATGAAGCATTGAATCACTACACTGGAAATATAAGAAACAATTCTGCTTATTGAATTTTAGTCCACCCTCCAATTGAAACAAATATTATGGGGTAAAACAATTCTAAAGTAAAACTTCTGAATCGGCATATGTTCATATAAGAAGGTAGACCAAAACAAATGTGTCCAGTGTATAAATACAATTCTGTATTGATTTGGGTGTGTTATTTCAACAGTCAACTTCAATTGAAAAAGGAGCTGCATAATTTGCTCACATTTCCTTCTATTGTTCTCTTTCCCTTCAGGACTCAGGCTGAAATGGCACACACCTGCCGGGGCACCATTCCTTTGGCAACAACACACATCGAGGTGGGGGACACCTGCCACTTGGTGTTAACTAGCAGGGGGCGAAGCTACCACATGAAGGCGACCTCTGAGGGGGAGTGTCAGCGCTGGGTCACCGCCCTGCAGCAGGCCAAGGCTAGCTCCTCTCTGCTGATGCATCACTCAGGTGAGGTGTGTGTGTGTGTGTGTGTGTGTGTGTGTGTGTGTGTGTGTGTGTGTGTGTGTGTGTGTGTGTGTGTGTGTGTGTGTGTGTGTGTGTGTGTGTGTGTGTGTGTGTGTGTGTGTGTGTGTGTGTGTGTGTGTGTGTGTGTGTGTGTGTGTGTGTGTGTGTGTGTGTGTGTGTGTGTGTGTGTGTGTGTGTGTGTGTGTGTGTGTGTGTGTGTGTGTGTGTGTGTGTGTGTGTGTGTGTGACCTATTTAAATGTCAATGGTAACTTCCCTCTTTAAAAATGTGTGATGATTCATGTTCACACATAATACTGTCCTGGTGCTGAGAAATAATGTGACTTAAAATTGGCAGTCCTTTCATGTAGGCAAACAAACCTATCTCTTTTTTCATTTTTGGATTAACTGAATGTGTTGTTGCTTTTAAGCTCAATTCAAAGGGCTTTAACAAAAAGCATATAACATTTAAGCACTGACACAATTAAATGTGCAAAAGACATTATAGGACTTTAGCTTCAGATTTAAAAAGCCAAGAAAAACAAGCTAAAACAGAATAAGACGGGTTTTAAAATACAAGAATAAAAGTTCAAATCGCGGCGTATAATTGAATAACTATATGACTGAATAAAAGGCAAACAGGAAAATCTGCGGCTTGATTTTAAATGTCTAAAAGTTGCAGCAGACCTGCAGTTAGTTCTGAAAAACAACATGGTTTACCTGAGAGTCCAAGGTAGGTCAAACTAATTTTAGCTGTATCTTGAATGCAGGCTCATACCAAAATGCACATTGTATCAGTTTGCAGCATTTAATGTAATGCCAACAACAAACCACAAGACGGCAGTGTTGTACCATAGGATGGGATGGATATATGGTACAATATTGATGCAAAATCTGCGTTTAATCATTTAATTTAAAATAACCTATTCCTTACCCCTTTCACACTATATGTTGTATTCTATGAGTCTGGGAGACATTTTGCTGTCCATCCTTATTTGTCTATTAAAACACCTGCAAAGATGCACCGTGGAGTTTTCTCCCCCTCTATTTCTCCCTCTTCTGTACAAATGTGCACAAACACACATGCAGCAGCTTGGCCTCCCTCCCACTCCGTCTCCTCTCTCCCTCCCTGTCTCCTTCAGTATGACGACAGTGAGAGCTGAATGAAATGACCTTCCTTCAGACTCCTCCCGCTCTGGTCGCAAGAGGGGTACAAAAAGAGAGAGGGTATTAGGATTTTCATTGAAAATATTTTCCACCATACACTCCATACAGTGTAGCCTCATCTATGAGTGTCACCTTGTAAGTAACCTTTAATTATTTTACCGAGAGCAGAACTGAGATAAAAAATAGAAGGGGTGTGCTCGCGTGCCTGCATGCATGTGTGGGTTTGTGAATGTTGCCGATGGGATCTGTTTATGGAGTGTGTGTAAATATGGCAATTGGATTTTCTTATTGGACATAATATGATTTCAAGTTAACAAAATGGCTGTGGAACCTTATTTCATTGCCGAACAACAGAGCGGTATTTATTTGTATCCTCATTCTCGGGATTATGACTGTAAATGCAACACCTTGAAGTGTCATTAGCTCACATGTGTGCACCTTTAGGCAGCATGAACTGCTGAGTAAAAGGTTCGACCTGCAGTAAATCAATGTTTTCTGTTCATCTGGATTCTGGACTATTAACATATGGAGTCCATGATGTCACGTGTGAGGTGTTGATGCTCTATCTCTACATCTACCATTGTAGAACAAAGGACTTTGCCACACTGGGAGTTATTACAGCCAAAATACTAAACCAGATTTTAGAAGGGGTTTTCTTCTACTTTGTTTCTGAATGTTCCCATGTTTCAGGTTTTATTTTGTATTGTTTTCATTCATTTTCATCATATATATTTTATTATCCTATCTACTGTCTATTTCTTGTATTGTCTGTTGTTGCCACTTTGGGTGAGTTGTTTGTGTGTTAAATTGCCGGTATGTAGTATTGCTGTTGCTAGGTCACCACCTCAGGATAACAACACCGGCGGTCACGTTACGTATTTACATAGGATAGCGGACTCTCTGGTGAACAGCTGTGAGAACTTATTTTTAACAGTGGATTGGATTTTAACTAGCTCATTAATTCTCACTCAATTATTGCACCCGTTTTTTAGATTTGTGTTTAATCCTGCATTTATTTGGATATTCCATTTGGGACCTCATTTATTTCACCTCAACGCTTTCCAAATGCCTTCAATTTCCTCAAGAGGCGTTTATTGTTGTTTGATTGCCATTACACTCTCTGCTACACACTATTTCAAACAGAATAACAAATGTGTTTTCATCCACGTGCAAACACACAAGCACAAGTCCTCATGTGTTCTGGTGTGTGGGATGTGATTACAGGTTATTATATCATGAGCCTTGGGTTATTGGCTCAGTTGCAGTAATAGCCGGGCAGATGAAGTGGCGGGAAGTGGATTAGAAACAAAGTAATTGAGTGGACCTTTGCGGAAGTTATCCATCACCTACACAGTATCTTGTAACAGCTATCATAGAGGCACCACATGCCTATGCTGTGACTTAACATGTAGATCAATACATCCATAGTGATAGTTTGAGTGTTCACAAGGAAGAACAGTGGAGCTCATGTTGTGCCACAGAGAGCTCTCAGACTTCATCTATATTTCAGAAGCTTCCAGTGCATCCCCATGATCTTTCAATGTGATTCTCACGTCCCACACTGTGTCCACACCAGTGCTCTCTCTATCACCTGTGGGTGTGTTATCATGATTCAACGATGAGTCACCGATATGTCTCAGACCCTCTGGTGTCCTGCATTTAAAAAAACATTTATGCACACCAGCAAGCCTCCCACCTTCATGTATGTTATTACTCCCACTGATGTGTTGTATGGCTATAAAAAGAACACTTTCTATATGAACAGCTGGTAGATCTTATTCAAATGTGTTGACACCTCGAACACAAGTGGGACCCTTTTCTCTGGGCTGTATGTAGGTCATGAAACCATTAACAGATGCGCGCAGGATTTCTTGTTGCCTTTCATTTTTAATCTACTCCTTCTGAGAGTTAGTCATTCCAGTTTGCCCCGATTATTTGTATTCCTTTTCCCCTCTCATAGTGTTCCTTTGTCTTCCTGTGCTTTACTCACACTGGCCTAGATTCAGTTAACATGGTCAGTCATAGTTTTTCTTTTAGACTACACACACATGTTTTGACCCAGAAAATGTTCATTTCTGCATAGGAGGCAGTCATTTGCATTTAATAGATGGGTTATTTGTGTCGGCATCTATATCAGTCTAGAGATCGATGAACAAGCCGCTGTTCATCTCTACTAAAAGAAAACCTTTTTAGGTGTCTAGAATAAAGCCTCATCTTTAAACCAGTCTTTTTCACTATGACCTTCTTAAACTAACACACACTTTGGCATTGGTCCATTATGACAAATATATTGTGTGAACAAGCACTAAACAAAGTTGCTATTTATTTAAAAGTACATTTAAACCCTAAGGCTTTGTACCCAATATGTCAGGAGGAATTACAAGAAGATGTGTCCTTATTTTATTTCAAGATGCTACCAAAACTCTTTTTAATTGCTCGCTATAGGGAATTAGCTTCAATCGAAAAAGGGCGCAGTAGATTTGAAAAAAGATTGTAAGCCAAAAGAGAGCCAATACAAAGGTATAACTGTAGGGTTCAATTAGTAAAGGATTTTAAATGTTCCTTTATGATGCTAGAAAATCAGTCCAGTCTAAAATCCATGAGACTGATGGAGCTCATGACAACAGGGGGAAAAGAGAGATAGAGAGGAGGAAAGGGAGGAGGAGGAAACGGGGTAGTGCGTCATCCTTTTTCTCCCTTTTATTCTAAAAATAGCTCAGTCTCCTGATTGCACAGGCCTACGTTTCCAGGGCAACGGTTTTCATTCACAGCTTCCTGATCTTGTAGAGGAAGGGGTTTTGGGGGAACAGGGTGTGAAGTTGAATTACCTACCTCCATCCTCAAACAATTTCTCATAATAACCTGTAAATGATGTCATTCTTGCAATGACCTTATTTGTCTGTTTGTGTGTGAAGATGACTCGGGAGATGAAGGCCCTGTACCTCAGGAGTATCGAGCCCTAACCCAAGGGGTGCTCAAGACTCTGGCCAGCAAGCTAGACGACCTGAGCACCTGTAATGAGCTGATAGGAAAGCACGGCGCCGCCCTCCAGCGCTCACTCAGCGAGCTCGAAGAACTACGTGGATCCTCTGAGAGCTCGGACAAAGTGAAAGCCGTTAACGAGCGAGCCACGCTTTTCCGCATCACCTCCAATGCTATGATCAATGTGAGTGTAAACAGGACACTTGTCAGATGTCTCTTTTCAATGAGCAGTCTAAAGACTCTGCCTGCATGTTTTCATGTGCGTTGTGTTCACACCTCAGGCTTGTCGTGACTTCCTGGACGTAGCTGAATCTCAGAGCCGGAGATGGCAGAAGACCCTGCAGTATGAGAGGGAGCAGCGTCACCACCTGGAGGAGACCATCGAACAGTTAGCCAAACAGCACAACAGCCTGGAGAGAGCCTGGAAGGAGAACCCCACCTCATACACAGGTGAGACTCATCCCTCTCATCCGCTCTCTTTCGTTTGGTATGCACACTTCTGTTGAGTCTCACTGAATGAGAATATGGCCCTCTTCTGGCCAGTGGTAGAGATGCATGTGTATAACAGAAATGTGGCTCAGACAGACTGATTGTATGTTTATCTACGTAACACGTAGAGAAACACCTGACTACAAAGAAGGCCTCCCAAACTACCTATTTACTGACAGATATGTGTTGTTTACAATTAAAGAAGGTCATATGTATAAGAGTGTGAAGTAAATATTGTATTAAATATCTTCCAATAAGGGATTTTTCTGACAAATGTTCCCCTTTGTCGGCAAAGGTTTTTTGTTTGGTACATATTCTAATAATGTATAATTTCTTTAGCTTAACAATATTTTACGAAGTTTGCAAAGTATAGCTGTAATCTTTGCATCTACTGTACATCAAACTGAATTGTATATTAGGAGATATTCTCAAATGTTTGTTTTTATGGCAACATGAAGAAGTTGACAGAACTTAAAATGGTCTAGAATATAGTCGAGGCTTTTTTTAAGTTACTGTGTATTATTACTTTCTATTGGGCTAATTATTTGGAATGTTAAATAAAAGAGGCTTATTAAAAAACATCTTTATGGGCAAGCCTTTTAATAGATATCCATCCCTGTCAAATGTTTTAGTTCCATCTAGCTTGATCTGAGTCATGTTTTGTGTTTCATGTTGTCATTTATTTTAACTTTAATAATTGTTTTGTTTGTGTTAGGGTTAGGGTTAGGTGATGCCCTTTGTGGCTGTTTGTTTGAAAACACAGTATCATGTAAATGTTATTTGGCCATACCTTGTAAAGCAGCACAAAACATGCATGATTTTTAGAATGATGAAATAAATAATCCATCCCCTTGCCACTGCAGGTGTAGAGCGGCCTCAGGAGGGGGACGCGAGTGATGAGAATGACGACGCAGAGTTCTTCGATGCCATGGAGGACTCCCGTGCATTCATAACTGTGACTACTGGCAGCATACAGCACAAGTGAGAAATGGCCTCTAATAGCTAATAATAGTCTCGGAATTGTGTTATCCATCAGGCATCACTTTGAACTGCATTATAACGGTGTTGCTTCCTCTCAGGCGCTCAGGGAGTAATCAGAGTATGATGAGTGGAAGGATGTCCAATGACTGGACTCACAATGAGAATGTAAGTCCTGAGCATTGCTCTCTTCTTGCGATACCGACTCTTATAACTCTGACATTCAAGTCAAAAGAATGTGGTTTCTTTTCAGGACACCTCAGGCACAAACCACATCCAGCTCCGAAGAACAAGACGCAGTCGTATTCCTGACAAACCAAATTACTCCCTTAACCTGTGGAGCATCATGAAGAACTGCATTGGCAAAGACCTGTCCAAGATACCCATGCCTGTAAATGAAAAACATACAGTACACATTAGCTGTTATATAACGTTTAAGCTTGAGTGACTTAGGAAAAACCTTTCCTGTGATTTCAGGTCAACTTCAACGAGCCGCTGTCGATGCTGCAGCGCCTGACGGAGGACCTGGAGTACAGCGAGCTCCTGGACCGAGCGGCCCGCTGCGACTCGTCTCTGGAGCAGATGTGCCTGGTGGCGGCCTTCTCCGTGTCCTCGTACTCCACCACAGTCCATCGCACAGCCAAGCCCTTCAACCCTCTGCTGGGGGAGACCCACGAGCTGGACCGGCTGGAGGAGTATGGGTATCGCTCCATCTCTGAGCAGGTATGACCAACACAGACACATGACCCTACAGGTATCATTTACACACATTGCCTCCAGCTGATACCCTTCCCCCTCAGGTCAGTCATCACCCACCAGCTGCTGCCCACCATGTGACCTCACAGCGGGGGTGGACCCTCTGGCAGCATATCACTATTGATAGCAAGTTCCGCGGGAAATATATCTCTGTCATGCCATTAGGTAAGAGACAAGGACATTCACTCAGTTCATGATGGCAATATATACCACTACAAACCCATAAAAACACATTCATATACACAACAATTCACAATTTTGTATTTGTTGCATCATTTTCATTTTCAAAAACTCAAGAACACTCTTAAAGAAGAAAAATAAACTAATGATACAAAAATAATAATAATAAATCAAGGTGAAAACTATTTAAATGAAAATAAAATGTAATTTAATAAAAACATATTTTTTACAATAACAATAATGCTATTACTTGTTATTCAACTGTTTTATTATTATTTTATTATTATTGTGTTTCTCCTTTCTCTTCACTATAGGTAACATTCACCTGCATTTCCACTCAAGCGGGAATCACTACGTGTGGAGCAAAGTGACCTCAACGGTTCACAACATTATTGTCGGGAAGCTTTGGATAGATCAGGTTTGCCCCTCTCTACTTTAATGATCAGATTAAGAATAACATGTCATGTGTGAGTTTGCGCTTATCTTTAAACCAAGAGTGAAAGTATTAACGTAATGTTGAACAAGCAATCTTCTAAAAACAGTTAATTCCCAAGAAAAGAACAAATTAGCTAGACAGATAAATAAACAGATATACACGTCTGTTTTTCTTCCTGTTTTCCTGTCTGTTGGCGTTGGCAGTCTGGGGACATTGACGTTGTAAACAACACCACCAAGGACACCTGCCGTCTCAAATTCTCCCCCTACAGCTACTTCTCCAGGGATGTCCCACGAAAAGTAAGTACCTTTCTATTCTGTCAGGGTTCATTTCAGATGAGGAACTGTCAGCAGCTAGAAGAGAAAAAGTAGAATGAAACAGCACTGGAATGTTTGTAATCCTATTTGTAAACTTTGTCAAAATCTATCTACCCTGACTTCACGAAGTATACATCGCAATAGAAGCACATTTTTAAATGATCACATTGTATAGATTATCATATAGACTACTACACCCTGTTCTGGATGTATATTGATGTAAAAAAAAGTGCTTCAATGTAAGCAGTAGTCAAGAATGTGTTGAAAATGGTCATAAGGCTGCACTGCTGAGAGTTCAACTGTGTTTACACTTGCCAAAGAAACATCAGCTTGTCACTGTCAGCAAATGGTTCCTGTTTACTTACATGCTGCAGCTGGAAGGCTTATAGGTCGGAATTGGAAATATTAACTGGGAGAAATCCTACCTCAGCATAAGTGAAGTAGTACCCAGCTGTGAATATGTCAGCAGTATAGCAGTCTGTGTGAGCACACATGTAACTGATCTCTTCCTGTGTGTCTTCTTCTGTGGTGCCTGCAGGTGACAGGAGTGGTGGAGGACAGAGAAGGCACAGCCAATTACATCCTGTCAGGAACCTGGGACGACAAGATGGAGAGCGCCAAAATAGTGGACAGCAGCCAAGGAGGCTCTGAAGGCAAACAGAAGACCGTTTATCAGACTCTTCAGCCCAAACTGCTGTGGAAAAAATACCCTCTCCCGTAAGTTTAGCTTTCTTTATTTAATTGAAACAGACTCCCTTTTGACTTCTCTTAATTCTCTCTTTCCCTTTCCAGAGATAATGCGGAGAACATGCACTATTTCTCCTCCTTGGCTCTGACCCTCAATGAGCAGGAAGATGGAATAGCGCCCACCGACAGTCGTCTGAGGCCGGACCAGCGGCTGATGGAGGCGGGGGTGTGGGACGAAGCAAACATCCAGAAGCAGCGTCTGGAGGAGTGTCAGAGGCTGGAGAGGAAGAAGAGGGAGGCGCAAGCCAACCAGGCTCTGGAGGAAGGTGAGAAACAGGAAACAAGACAACAACTTGCTGTGACTTCACACAGATGTTTGAGTTCGACCATGTTATCCATACGCAGGTCGACACTAGTTTCGCTGTGTTTCATATCTGAGCTTAAACACACATAATGAAATTGGTTTTCGTGACAGCTGTTCCATTTAATAATGAATAAAATAGAATCAAATCAAACTCAAATATATCAATAATGAGTGAAAATCTGCAATAAAAGATCATACAAGATATATTAACTAAATAAATAAAAGTAATATAACCATTAAAGATAAATTAACATAAAAAGAGATATATTTGATTTAAAGATGTTTTAACCGTTACATTTTACTTTTTTTTTCTGTCAGACAAAAAATAATAATTGTTTTGTTATCAGGTCTGGAGTTGATCGTCATGATAATATTCTTTCTTTTACCTCATGGCATTCAAACTACTGAGACACAGATGTGGGTTAAACCACTTTTCGGCAAAGGCAGAAACTTAATTTGTATTTTAGAAGAATACATGTTACTCATCTTCAAACATAATTTTACTATAACCTTGAACTGTACTTGTTTTCCATTGACAGGTAAAAGTTAAACTGCTTCTAAACTGCAGAATAGGTAGTAATAGACAAAGTCACATTACAGATTCAATGGCTGTCTACAGGGTGTGCGCAGAGATTGTTAAAACAGAACTGCAAAGCCTCGTCGCATTAGAAAAAACGCCTTTTTACATTCTGCCCTGAAGGGACATGTTGCTGTCTAACATAAACATGAACTCAGGTGGAATGAGATGTGCTGGCAGGGCCTGTATGCAGCTCTTCTTTTACTTCTTTCCTATTACCTATATGAATGTACGATGTGTTTCGATGGTTTTATGTGAAGCTGCGGGTGCTGCCATCTGGACCAGGACTCTGTGGAAGGAGAGATTTTTTTATATCTCAATATGCTCAATAAATGATGGATAATAAAAGGGTTGTGCATATAATGTTGCTCTTTCTGAAAAGTAAGGTCCATTCATTTGTATTCAGCTTTCCTCTGACTTAAGAGCACAGTCAACTGAAGCAGAGCAAGAGACACAAGAAAAGACATTGTGACGTTGTGGTATAAATAAACTTGCCTTGCCCTGGTGATCTGAAAAATAGTAAATATTAAAGCCTTGCCTTAAAAATATGTTTTTTTGTGTCATTAGGGCAAGACATCGAGGGTTACCAGCCGCTGTGGTTCGAGAAGAGGGCGGAACATTCGGGGGAAAGCACCTACATCTACAGGGGAGGCTACTGGGAGGCCAAAGACAGACAGGACTGGAACATATGCCCTAATATCTTCTAAGAGGTTCCCCTTACAGCATGGCATCAGGAAAGCTGAGAGGTTCCTCCGTATAGGTTACTCCATGACTTATGGACAGCTGTATGTGGATACGTGTGTGTGTGTGTGTGTGAGTTAGTGAATGAACGAAGTACTGAAAGCAGCCGTCACTCCCAGAATTTCAAGCACAAAACAAACTCCTACTTCCTTCTCTTCTGATATACTCTAACTTATCTTTTCAGAACGCATGGCTTCAGTGTGTGTGAGTTGTATGTGTATGCTTATTCAGCACCGCAAAGAACTGATTTATGGGAGTACATCGAGTTCTCATGTGTGTCTGTGTGTGTCGAGAGGGGGATCGTGCTGGGGAAGTTTTGGTACGGAATGTCTTGTTCTCCTCAAAGCTGGAACAACATGTTCTTCATGCTGGGCTCTGACAGAGGCACCGGGATTTAAAGGAAAGTAGCAGGACTACGCTTTCTTCGTAACTTAAAGACTTTTTCACAGCAGACCATTTATTGATCCCGCTGATTCTTGGGAATTTGTATTTAAATGCCCAAACTGTATTTTGAAGAGTTTACTGCCCAGTCTGACTGACAGCTGACAAGCAGCTACTGGACCTCTAAACCAAAGTAGAAGTCATTCTCTTTGGACGGACAAATGACTGAATACACTGATGTTTTACAGACACTGCTGCTTCCCACATCTTGAACTCAAGCTTCTGTCTGACTACATTAAAGGAGCACCTCCCCTATTAGCTGTGAAGATTACTACACAGCCTGTGGAAACAGTTGTACAGTTGGATGTTTTCACAGGCTCTGCAGAAAATGTGTCGAGTCAGAGAAAATCACTTAAGTGACGTCACTTGAGTACTCTCTGAGAACACTATTAGGTTGCATTATGGGAAATGAAGGCTGCAGCATTGAGCTCGACCAGTGAGAGTCAGGATAGCTATACCTTTGTTGCATATATTTGGATCACTTTCTTTTAAATGTGTCTTTAAGACTTAATGCAAGCGCAACAGTAATTAGCTGCAGGGACACAATGCGAACGTTAAACCGGTTTAACCTGGGGGATTTTTTTCAGCAAAGAATTATATTGGTGCTTAATGGTAATTTTAGCCTTATTTATGTAATGAAGTAGTAAATCCCAAGTAGTCACTGCATCCCCTACTCTGAGTTTGTGTACAGATTATAGAAATCCGTCAAGCTTTGTTTGCGGGGATTAACATTCAGGGTGATTTATTTTAAGTAAAATGTACACAAATAACTGGATTGATCATACTTTAAAGTAGCAACAAAGTTGTTTCCCAATAGTTTAAAGTGTAGAAGATGCTAGCTTTGTATTGGTGTCAATCCTAAAATGGCTTTATTTGGACATGGCAGCTATAACATAACTGCACGGTAACATAAGAAGAAAATACTCCCAGGTCAGAGGCTTGTTTTAGGCAGCACAAAAGTATGTTTTGGCATTCAATTAGCTGAAGAATCATTATGTTAAGGAATCAGATTCAAACACATCAGTCAGGACCAGAAAACCTTATTAAAGTAGGCTTGGCAATAGTTTTTTGTGTGTACATTAGTAGTAAATATATATACTATAACCAATATTAACCTCTGTATTTATAGTTTTCATCAAATGGTGTACTATAATAGGGCATGATGCACATGTACATTTAGCCGGTTGCTTTTGGCCTTTATACAGCAAGAATATAATAGAAATAGAATAGCCTAATGTAGAATCACTGTAAGGAAATATTGTTTCACATTACTTGAACATTTACATTTTGGGCACTTCTTAAAATATATCTGTGTATCTTAAATGGAGTCAGGATTGTATACCAGTTATACTGAGATGTTGGAGGAATTCAATGATGATTATAATATATATAATAAGATGATAGAAATAAGGTGTTGTTTAAATAAAGCACAATGTTATGTTTCCTTGCAGGTAATTATCATGGTAATTACACATATTACATCATCTCAACATATAGCTATGCATGGTTTTAGAGTGCTTAAGCATTTCTGTAGTGGAAGCCTCTTCACCTAGCTAATTGTTTGGACTCTTTACTGAAACATGATGTGAACTCACCTTTTGTGCCCAATGACCTGAAAAGTGTTATATTTTTTAGCTCAATAAAAACATAAAGCTGTGCTGTTGTTATACTGTCACACCACTGTTGTTCATGTGCATGTAAATGAAGCTTTCCAGAGAAACTGTCTGTCTTGATGCATCAAGAACAACAACCCATTTATCTTGGGACAGTGTCACTATTCTGGGATGAGGTCAAATGTCAGACAACAAAAAAAGAAACGAGACACCAGAAATGTGTGTTAATGATATGCTAAAGGAATATAAGGATATCTAAACATAAATGTTAACTCAGGTTTGTTCTCCATTATGTTACAGACATATGCCTACTTAGGTTTTTCTGAACTTTTGCAATAGCTGTTTCTTTTATAATTAATCATCTGGTGAATTTTAGCAAGAACAAGTAAACAAATGTTGCATTCATCGTGGTTTATGTGATGATTTATACTTTCACTTGACTGAACTGGTATCATAAACGACATGAACATTTGAATTGTGAACATATATTTGCATTAAGCTTTACTCAACGCCCTGAACAGTATGATTAACAAACCTGTTTCCTCAACAAACTATGTCCTAAAAGTCATTACACTGTGTAAAGTTGAGGGAATATTGAATGGTGTGGTATAATGCACTATAGCCTATTATTGTTAATATTACTAAACAAACAAAGAACACATGCATCTGTTATAGGTCATTATTAGCATTATGTAAATTAAACCCAGATGTTGCTAACTACTGTATGTTTTCATTTTCTTATTTGCATTTTGCGGTTGAGGTTGCTTTCAGCTTGCACCATGCCCTGAACTGGCATCGCCCTTTAAAGCGAACATCCAATGACACTGAAGCGCGTCCGCTGCCTCGACCAGCCTGACAGCACGGTGACCCACAGCCGGAGGTTTATGAGGGATGCTGCTGCTGACAGTGTTGCGGAGGTACTCGTCGAAGAACAAGGTAAAAACCTCATATATTCTAAGAAAATGTCAGTGACCGCAGTTATAGTTTTGCTAATGTTGACTATACAAATGTAAGCCAACACCGTGTCAGGTAGCCAGAGTGAAGGTTGGTGTTGTTTTGATGTAGCAACCTACTGCTAGCTGTTAGCTTTAGTCGCAGTCATACATCTGCCTTCAGAAGTGCGCTGGTCGTTGAAGCCGATTTTTGGAATGGCCATTGTGGCCAAACGGTGATACTACAACTAACGTGACGTCATGTTGGCCCAAAAAGACTATTTCCCATTGTCTAACATTTCTTTTTAAGCCAGTGAAACTTCATGCATGAATACTTTCATGGCCCTTGTTTAAAAGATTAGGGTTTAAAATGCGCCAAAAGCTGAATCCATGGTTATTTTACCTCTCCATTCATTTGACTCATGGGAGCGGGAGATCGGAGGAGGGGCAAAAGTACCCGGATTATCCGGGTACTTCCTGAATCTACAGCCGCTTCAATGTTAGGCTTCATGCGCCACTGAGCGACTCTCATAGGAATGAACAGAGCCTGTCTCCGACTCAGTATCCAGTTGTCTTTATACATGTTTGGAGTCCAGTGACAGTCTGTAGCAGAGGTGAGCTAACCTAATCAACCTTGTTTATCTTATTCTGGCTCAAAAAGAAAATGTTGTGCTCTGTTTGCGCCAAACGGGAAACCGATAGCTAGCTACATGTTATACTGTGTCAAAAATAAACCGAGCTAGTCTGTGTTTATGAACAACAACAGTGAGTTGTCAGGGTTTCCCTCTGCTACAGTCAGTGCTGGGAAATGAATCACACGATCTCCTTGGGCAATGAAGTACGCTGCTATTTAAAGCCTTAACCATCACCTCTGTCAGCTGCGGCGGCGGGGCACTGTCTGGTATTTATTGCATTTCCTACATTTATTGCGTTAGTTTTCCTATGGTGTTTACTTCAGTGCTGTTTTTTTTTGGTGCAACACCGTGAAATCGTCCGCGTCAGTCCATTGGTGAATGTCAGGGTAGTAACCAATCCCTCGGTCCTCTTATGGGGAGACGGGACGTACTGTTTTCCAGCCCGCCCTCCTCAGTCCTCCCTCCCTGTTTGTCTTGCTGGTCCGGCATATGTAATGTTGCCTGCGCGGGGTAAGTTACACAACCAGCCCGTCATGCAAAATAGAAACACGTGTCTATTGGCGGTGCTGAAAAATACAGGTTCACTGAATAACAAAGACCCGAGAGGATGGATAGATAGCTGTGTCGCATGTTATTTAACCGGTTTTACTGCCACAACCATGCCGGTTTGATCATGAATTTTAATTGGATATGACATGTGTTTTCCTTCCAGAGAGGACAATGGTAAGAACATGATCAGCGCCGATGGCTTCTCAAAATGCGAGGCGACTCTTCCAGAGGGAGCAAGGAGGAGGCCACCCGCAGAGACGCTCCATCTGCTGTCAGCTGTTATTGTTTGGCTTGTGACGGGAACCACCATCTCCAGCCTCAACAAATGGATATTTGCCGTGTATAACTTCAGGTACCCTCTACTGCTGTCAGCGCTGCACATGCTGACAGCTATAGTGGTGGACTATGGGCTGATCAAACTGCAAGTGATCCGCCATAAAGAGTCTGCAGTGCAGGTGCTGACCCACAGTGCAAAATGTAAGGTGTTCCTGTTGAGTCTGACTTTCTGTGCGAGTATCGCTTTTGGGAACATTGGTTTGAATTATGTCCAGCTGTCGTTTGCACAAATGATCTACACCACCACCCCGATCTTTACTTTGGCCATCTCTACGCTGATCCTGGGCAAGCAACACCATTTCCTCAAGTACACAGCCATGATGCCCATCTGCCTGGGGGCCTCCTTCAGCATCATGGGAGAGGTCCAGTACGACCGGACCGGCTGCTTCTTTGTGTTTGCAGCCACCATGTTGAGGGGCGTCAAGACCATTCAGCAGAGTAAGTACAACTGAGCCTCTTCATTCTCCTGCCTCAGACTGTTAACATTTAGTTTTCTGTGTTTTTTTCCTGTCACTATAGAACGTTTCCTTTTTCATCTTTTAATACTCTTTTTATACTGGAAAATGCATCTCATGCCACAGACACCAGAGGTTATTTTAGTGCCTCACCCCCTCCTACATGGTCCTGGAACTTTTTTGATTCACTTCTCAGTTCAGTAACACGTCCTTACATTAAAGTGGAAAGTCACACTGGCATCATTTCTGGTTGCTTAGGGAACGTTATACAAACATCAGTAGACAGACTGTACGTGCTGATCCGTGGTCGGACTGGCATTGCTGGTTTATGAAAGAAACGGAAGAACCTTTTCAGTCGTCATCAGCTCAGAAGCTTAGATAGAGTTTCCTTTATTTGTCCCCTACGCTTCTGGACACTATTTGTTGTTACATACTGCATTTGGTGAAGAGACGCGCAGAATCACTGTAGACTATAGGATCTGGTAACATTTTAACATCTCTCGACAATTTTATTCAATGTCAATTAATAATCTTTTTTTTGTTTAATTTTTACTTGCTGGATAATCCTGGTAAAACAAAGAGGATTTTGATGACTAAACAAACATTTTGACTTTGCATGTATGTCAATAGTTTAAGGATTCCTTTCTTGAACGAATGTTATTAAGGCTGAGTAGTGCCAATTATCCAATGTACTCATGTATCTAATGTTCTGTGTTCTCAGGAAAGCCTTTGTAGCAGGATTTGCCTTCAAGTTAGTTTGTAGAGGATAAGGTTTTCTCACATAATTACTCTCCATAACATTGTAGCTACCAGAGAAAGAAAAGCCAGTAATGAGTTTCTAAACATACATCAAGGTGTATATATAGAGCTCCTGTATTAAATGGTTATGTAACACTAAGCAGTTATTCAGGTTTTCCCAGAAGGTTGGAAGGCTACATACTTGGTACCTCGAGATTACTGAGGCAGGCTTGTGACTATCGGGTCATCAGTTCAAATAATCCGGTGTAGCTGCTCAGTGACGCACAGTACAAGACTGTAAACATGTGCTTCACTAACAGGCAATGTAACTTCTGCCTTCAAAAAAAGTGAATCAAGTTAAAAAAGGAGGCCCTGCTTTTGGATTTGGAGGCAGAATGTATAAACAAGGTCCAGCAGGTTGAAGCACATTAGGCGCAGCGTGAGAAACAAATAACGAGAAAAAGATGAGTAAAGTGTCGCTTGCACACTTTTGGCTGTCTGTGGAGACCGAGTTCCCCCAACTCGCCAAACTCCCAGTCCGCCCCTGCCTCCCCCTACCTGTGTGAGTGCGGGTTTCCCACTAAAGTAGGGCTGAGTGCAATAAGGAGGCAAAGTTGACGTGCAGTGTGTTGCCGGGAGCATGTAAGGATTTATCCACGATGTTGAAAATGTTTCAAACATAAAGATAAAAAGGTTTAATGTTTTAAGGACGGTGACGCTACCCAGCCAATCAAATGGCTGCAGTCAGTGAGTCAGCACGATAGATTCAAACACAGAGACGAGACAAGAAGAGAGAAACACTCGGAGTCATTTCAAATGGCGTGCTCAAAAAAGAGAAAGGTAGACAGCGAAAACAGAGCATTTAATTATGTGTTCTCTTACTGGACCTCTTTGAAATGCAATTGAATACCCCTGGATTCTAACAACAACAACAACAACAACAATAGCAATAATGTTCTGTTCTTATGTTCTCTGGGGGAGGCTCACCTTCCCACACTTTGAAAACCCCTGATCTAGAGGTTGTCTCAAGTTTCCAAAATCTATTTCCATCTCCACATGTTGTTGTTGTTGTAACTCTGTTTCACTTATAAGTTTACTTTTCTCTGAGGCACTCTGGTAGTGCACATGTTTTTGTCTAACACAATTCCCCAGGTTTGCCACTGGCTGTGACGAAGTGTTCACAGTGACGTGAGTTCTTACTAAAACATAAAGAGGTTGTATAGATGTGCTACTTGTCCAGACCCATGATACATGTCCGGTTCCAAACTGGAGGTGCATCATTTCCTGCTTATCAGACAACTTCATAGCTTTGGCTTGAGTTCACAGAGAAGAGTCTGTCCTTGTTGTTTTGACTAGAAGCACACTGGAACCCTCTGTCATTATTCCACTCAAATATAGGTCTTTCGGGTATTTTACAGGCTTTGAAGTGGCTTAACAATTTCTTCGAAGTAGGAAATGCAGTTGAAGAAAAAATACTTTTGTCTTTTGAATCATTTTTGTAACTGCTGCGTATGTTTTTGTGTTTACCTAAGGTTGTGTAAAAGACATTTTGTTCTTACAGTATATCTTATATTGTAGTTCTCTTGAGCACACTTTGTAGTGCACGCTTTGTAGTGCACGCAGGGAATATAAGATAAGACGGGCCTTTATTTATCCTAGGGAAATCACCTGTCATGGCAGCAACAGATATTACACATGAAATACAAGTAAAATAAACATGTATTCACCTATAATATAAGAATATAATCAGCACTTGTACATTTTGACTGTGTCCGGTCACCTTCCACAATGGCTGATGTGTTATCCTTAAATTACAAATGTCATTTTTTAAAGCAACATTCAAAACTTAAGTCATAATGTGTATAAAGAACAAAAACCTTCAACATTGATTTTGGAAGCGCCAGATGAAAAACAAGAAATGGCCAGTAGAAATGTTCAGTTCAAGGTCAAGCGAACTTTATTGTGAATCTTTCAGTTTGTGTTTGAAGACAGAGATCGAAATACTGTTTCCCACAATCATGAAGATAAAAAGAATACAAATATATATATATAATTTAAGTAACAAGATATATATACATACACACACCTTACCTCCACAGTGGCAGTGGAGGTAAAACTTAAGTTCAGACCCCGAGTGAATGACGGACATCTTACAGTCAGACTTGATCTACACATGACACTGTCCATGTCAATAAACACGTTCATGTTTTTAACCGCCACAGATATTTCTGTTTACCTAAGGTTGTGAAAATGGCATATTAGCAATCCTCTTTCACACTTGTTGTTACAGTTGACCTTATTAGTTAACTACTCTTTGTAAAGGAATGACACAAGTGCCTCTCATCTGCCAAATACAGTGTACATTTAACTCTGTCGGGTAAATAGGTCACCTGCAACCACAGCAGATACATTTTCTTTATATATCAATTTTATAAGACAATAAACCTTCATTAAATACATGTATGACCTATTTCTACTGTATGTTACCACTGACTGTCCAATCAAACGCTTTCTACATATATTTTAGAAGTAACAGGGGCCAGTAGAAATGTAACGTAACCCTCACAATAGCAGACCTTGAGTTGTTCAAAGTCTACACATGACACTGTCAATCAACACCGTCATGTTTTGTAATGGCTGAAAACATGTCTCTGTCTCCTCAGGCATCTTACTCCAGGAGGAGAAGATCAACTCTGTGTTCCTGCTCTACCTGATGTCCATTCCCAGCTTCTGCATCCTGGCGGTGGCCGCTCTGGCCTTAGAGAACTGGGCAGTGCTGGAGTCCCCGTTTCACTACGACTGCCACCTGTGGGTCTTCATCCTGCTCAGCTGCCTGGGCTCAGTGATGTACAACCTGGCCAGCTGCTGCGTCATCACGCTCACCTCCGCCGTCACTCTGCATATCCTGGGCAACCTGAGCGTGGTGGGCAACCTGCTGCTGTCTCAGCTGCTTTTCGGCAGCGAGCTCTCCGCCCTGAGCTGCGCCGGCGCCGTGCTCACGTTATCCGGCATGCTCATCTATCAGAACTCAGAGTACATCGTCAGCTTCATGGACGCACGCAAAGCCAAAGCCGAAAAGTCTGAACATGTGGATCCTCACACTACAAGCGGAGAGGACGTGGACAAAACTAGTGAATCTGAACCGACGCACCCTCAGCCGAGAGCAGACGGGAAACGGGAGGATAAGATAGACTGAACAGAGAGGATGAAGGAGAGAATAAAATGAAAAGCCTCTTGCTGTAGTTGTCTACCGTTTGTGTCTGTAAGTGGTCAAGAGCAGCAGCAGAGGGAGTGTGACCTTATAAGGCCATAATCACTGATGATGTGACAGATTTATTCTATTTGACTTAACGTCCTCCTTCATTTCTTCTCTGGTCACACCGAAGACGAGTCTTTAGAGAGGTAGAGCTTGCCTTTACTTGTCATGGTTGAATTCTCTCCTTCATCTGTAGGTCACTCAACCATAGCCTGTAGCGGTATATGCATGCATGAGCACACCAAACGGTCTGATACCTCATGAGGTATTCACACGGTCACTCATACTCCTCCACTGTGAACATGTTCTCATTGACAGAGGGCTCTGAGCGTGTTTTGGGCGGCGGTCGTGGATCCTGCAGAGAGCCTGGTGTGTATCACTCCGTCAAATCTGAACGGCACAGTTTGTACTAAAAATATATTTGAATGGTACTGTGAGCTGACATTCACCTGGCCCTGCCACGTGAGGGACTGGGGTTTTGGCAGCTTTTCTTTTTATTGTCATGTGAAGCAGGCAGCTTGTTAGATAAGGACACTAATCGTTATATTCAGAGGCAGCAACGATGGACAAAGCCAACATAATTGTGCAACTCTTTCAACTCTTTTCCTCTACTGAAGCACATTTGAACTTAAAGAGGTCTGCATGGTTTGTTCTCACATATCACCCTCGGTGTGGCTGCAGTTGAGGCCTAGATTTTGTTCTCAGGCTGTCTCTGTAGAATAAATCCAATTATTTCCATCAGTGCGCTCCTCGCTGTAGCTTTCCTCAATAGTTAGGTTCACGAGTTCTCTAAGGAGTGTCACTCAACTTTAGCTGCCGTGTCCCTGTGGAAGAGATAAGGGAAAAGACTATTTAAGGTTGCTTCTTAAATCCAATCTTCAGTTAGGTTTGATGTTCCCCTCTCTGCCGGGGACATCTTCTTAAAGTTGGGAACACTTCCTGAAAAAAAACTGACCTCTGCTGAACTGTTATGTTTTAGTTTTTTTCAGTATTTGAAAATCATTTTACTGACATTATTTTATTTTGTGACAAAACACATTTTATCCCGCTTTTAATATTTTTGTGTCAGAAAATATAATTTTTTGAACGGCCAGAGCAGTCTCTGGCTTTGTGATGCTGTAGATGTCGGTCCTGAAGTGTCTTGCACATGCATACGTTTTAACATTACAGCGAAGTCTGTTACGATCCCTCCGACATGTACGTTGTGCCAAATGTCTCCATAAGATTTCTGGTACCACTGTGCGAAATATTTGTTCTGTCATCAATCCAACACGATCATTGCTCACTGGCAGTTTGATTTCTCACAAGACGACGATAACAACTAAGCCATACGTCAAGGTTTTTTTATTTATGACACCCGCCACGTTATGCCATAAAAATAACTGCAGGCAGCATTGTTTGCTTAAATATTTTACTATTGCATATTTAAAATGTCAAGGGTGCAAAAATACATAACATCATATGTACACTTTTCCCACAGTCAATTATTGGGAGAATACACATGAAAAGATTTTATTTAGCAGTTTGATAAATAGTTTTGTGGGTGTAATATTTCAAAACTAGTTTGTGTGCAGCAGATCATTTCACTGGTTTTACATGATTGAATACCTCAGATGTTAAATAGGAATTGTTATGCCCTGTGTTCTTTTATTATTAACTACTAGACTGAGACCAAGCAGCTTGACGCCCACCACAATAGAACTGCAGCATGTGAATGATTTCACTGTGTCCAGTAGGCCACAGATGTTAACATATTTCAAAACACTCATGTTGTGTCCAAGGACTCCATCTTTTAGTTTGACCTCTTTTAACAATCACTAACTTGTGGGAGTGTGGCTGCTTGTCTTCATGTACATCATGTTGAGTAGATTGTGAGTGTGGGGCAAAGAAACTGTTGCACTTAAAGAGGTTACGAAGACGCTGCCTTCAAAGCCTACGGTTCCTGTGTAAATACTGGTTTAAACTGTTTGAAAAGCTAGTTTGGTGTACATAGTTATTTTATGATAGTAGTGTATTTTATAGTCATATATGGCTGGTTTAAGCTAAACTGATTCAAGAATGAAGCGTTTGCCTCATGCCTTATTTGGACATTATGTAGATAAGACAGAAGTGATTTGATTTGTCATTTTGTCCATTTCTTTGATCCATACTTTGAATGCCAACAGCGGCTGGTGCTTCTGTTGAGGGGTAAAGAAATGGGCGTTTCATAAACACTGCAGATGCTTGAAATAAAAAATACAATAACAATTACCAAACCAACAACCTCTTTGACTCAAATGTTTTATTTTTATTTTACAGTTAAAGTTTAAATTCATATTTCTATCCTAGTTTTTCAAAAATGTCAATGAAATATCTAACTTCTAAATACATGTTTATGGCCTGATGGTGTTAAATGCTATATTACCTTTTAATTATTTCGTTTTTTTTTGCCATTTACAAGTGAAACTATTCAATTACATACATTTACCACATTGAGTTGATGAAATCTGTACAAATGACGGCTGCAATTTAAGGGTATTTTTATTACAGATTAAACTTTCAATCTTTATAACGTGAACACATCTCCTGCAGTTCAACCTAACACTTGTCATAGTACTTTTTCTTTGTTAAATACATTTTGTTGTTAGACATCCAAATGTTATTTTTAAGCAGCTGTGCATGTTCACCACTAGGTGGAGCAATTTGTCTAATTCTGATTTATTAGATTGTTCTCTAAATCTGCGTGAACTTAAATACTAAATACTGACTGATGTAGTTAAAAAGTGTCACTTGCTAACTGTGTTTCTTTAAGTGTGTGTGTGTTAGTGTGTGTACGCCCCCTGTCCTCAGATTCCTCTGTTTCTGTAAACAGAGTGGTCACTGCTCAGACTTTTGCCTGAATAAGGCAGTGCTCCTCACTTTTTTTTCAACCTTTTTAACCCGTTGTTTCCCAGTCACAGGAGTTTCACGCTGCAGCCTCCAGATGAAGCGGTACAAACTGTGAAGAAAAAGAAAAGGTTTTGCCCCACAACATTTCACATGACATCATCGAGGATGCAGGGACTAGAGGAGGAGAGACTGCTGAGGGGGACAGAATCATCTCCCCTCCTCCTCCTCCTCCTCCTCCTCCTCCTCCTCCTCGTTCTCCTTCCCATCTTGGGTGGTTCATGTAAGCAGCCTCCACTCGCTCTCCAAACATGCATCCTTATGAAGCGCTGCGGTGTGAGGTGGGATGTCAGGGCTGAGATCTCACAGCTCTCCAGTATACTCTGAAGGACCCAGGACAGGCTGAACACTTTCTAAGGAGCCACAAAAGTTTGCACCCTGGAAACAGGTGGGTGACACTGCACCTCATCACACACATCATCAGGGTCTATTTCTCACACTTGTATTGCTTTATTCTTCCCATGTTGTGCTTTAGGCTTCCTGCCACTCCTTCCCCCCCTCTGTCTGAGCACATAGTTGTACGCTGCTATCAGATTCTTAGGGTCTTGTTCCGCCACATTACTATATTTGTACGTGTTTTTGGCCCTTCTCTGGTGCACTCGGGGCCCGAGATGCACTGAGAGGTTCTCCAGTAAGACAAACATTTCCTTCCAAGGCTGCTCACTTTGTGACTCACACAACTGTTTATATTTGAATGAGTGTGATTTTATGCTCTGCTCGTGACATTTGCACGCAACAATACAAAGTATCTCGTCTGTGGAACAGATTCAAACCTTGTCAATAGTTATTCAGACCAAGTTTTTGCATTAATGTTTTTTTTATTCTCAAAACCCTAAGTGTGTTTTTATCCCAACTAGTTGATTTGCTTCTCAAGAAATGGAATCAAAAACTGACGATGGATCAGTGGCCACGGGAGAACTGTCTGCTATTGAAGATGAAGAAGTTCTCAACAAGATGGTGAGCCGATGTGTGACTTTTAATGAAATATGTCTCTAACCACAGTGCTGGAAGAAAAAGGAGAGAGTTGTCTTTGTGTAAAGGGGAACAAAACTCACAGAAAACCTTGCATGTTTAATTCAATGAATCAGCCCTTTGTATTTGCTGCGCTGATGATATTTATTCCCCCCTCTGACACTCTGAACATTTCTCAAATGGTCTTTTAAGCTGGATAATGCAAAAGATTTTGAAGAGAGAAAGATCTTACGTGCTGCATTAAGGGACCTGCTCAAGAAAAAGAGAGGTAAAATCTGATGCAAATTACCATGATAGAATCTGTAATGAACTTCTGAAGTTTTGCTCTATTACTAAATGTCCCACCACTCCTCTCTCCTCAGATAAGCGAGAGCAGGATCGAGGGTCGAGGCAGCAGGACTTGAGGCAGCAGGGGCTGAGTAAAGGAGGGGCCACCGGGGGGGCTGTTAGCATCGGCAGAGTATCCATGAACCAGCAGCCTCCAACAAACAGTGAGCTTATAAAGATGTCAGACACTCTGTGATACTTCTATGTTTTGTTTGAACAATGAAGATTCTTGACTTTTGATTCTCTGCATTTTGTTAGAGACGTCAGGCCAGGCCTCTCCATCAGCAGGCAGGTGAGTCAAATGTATTTTCAGTTTGACATGTTTGGTGTCTTTAACTGTAATGTCTGGGAACAGTTATGGCGCTTATTTAATCCCAGATATGCCCACACACACACATACACACACACACACACACACACACACACACACACGCACACACACTTTTTCTTTTTTCTGGAAAGGGAGTGGTGAGCGGAGGGGGAATTCAGCTGGTTGCTTTCTGCAAACTCACGAGGCCACTAAATCTAACCACTGTACCTTTAAGTACCCAGATCCACAAAATGTTACTTGATGTTTTGGAAATAATCATAAAAGGAACCACATATTTTCTAGCCTGACCTTAGTTATTTATTTAGTTGTTATTTGATGCCTTTGTTTTTCAGTCCTTTTTTAAATACTTTTTAATTATTGGCTTATTTCATTAACAGATGCACTTTGCTCAGAATATAAACTCATATTTACATGGAGTATAGGTAAATCACAACAAAAAACTCAACTGAAATTGTATTTTAACTAACTAAACTATTTGTATCCCTTGCTTTTATTTATTCTAGTGTCTTTTTTATATCTTACGTTGTGTTTTTAAATGTTGCAATTTTTAGTCTTGCTCGATACATTTTTTTGTTGTAGTTTTTGCATTCGTTACTTATTTTCTGTGCTGTTTTAATGTTGCATTGTGAAGAGCTATGGTCTACAATACATCTGATGAAAAGTGCTGAATAAATAAAGTTGAGTTGAATGTTAACTGTGAGGTAAATCCTAATGACATTTCTAGTAGGAGCCTGATGGTTGCAAAGCAAAGTCTTCATATGCTAGTCTTTCACCCCAAAAAAGGACACAATTACATTTATTAAGCAAAGCATTTGTTGTTTTATTTCTCCTTAGCAAGGCCAGTCCCGCTTTAGCCTCAGCCCAGAAATGTCCTTCTCCTGCTGCAGCACCCAACATTAAAAATGTCAAACAGATGCTTCTGGACTGGTGCAGGGCCAAAACAGAGCCATATGAGGTAAACATGGCCTACGTCTTTGTGTCTGTAAATTATTGCCCAATGGAGCTAAATATAGCTCTGCCCCTTACGTTTCATTCTCTGTCACTATTTCTCCTAAACTGAAACAACTCAGGGAGTGAACATCCGAAACTTCTCCTCAAGTTGGAAGGACGGCATAGCCTTCTGCGCCTTGGTGCACCGCTTCTTCCCCGATGCGTTCGAGTACTACACCCTAAATCCCACCAAGCCCAAGGAAAACTTCGAGTTGGCCTTCAGCACCGCAGAGTGAGCCGTCTTCCCTTATATGAAGAAGCAGGAGCATCTTGTCTGATACACAGTCCAGCCCTGTCTTGCAGTTCAAAACAAAGTTATTTATCTAAGTTTGTCTCAAGTGGTTTTGTCTCTGTGTCTGTCTGCAGGAGGCTGGCTGGCTGCCCCCCCCTGCTGGACCCTGATGACTTAATCCGGATGAAAGAGCCTGACTGGAAGTGTGTGTACACGTACATTCAGGAGTTTTACCGCTGCCTGGTGGAGAAAGGCCTGGTCAAAACCAAAAAGTGACTGTAGACTCAGAAAGGCTTTGATAATCAGCTGTGATTTTATAATTCACACAATCAACACGCACAAGCTGAGATCAAAAAGATAATACCAAGCACCTTTTTACATTTTGTCTGAGTTGATATTACGTATTTAATGTGTCTGGCTTATGTAAATGCACAGTGCCTTATGTGAAGCCTTTGTGGTTGTATTTGAAAGGACTCTTGCTCTCAGTGGACAGCTGGCACCTGGGATAAATGCATTCCTCTGAAATTACACATCTGCATTAATCCCAGTCACAGCTATGGAGACTCTGGGAACACATTGTATCATGATGCTGTTGAGGGCCTGAGGGTGTGAGTATTAAAAAAACGCATTTAATAAAAATCCATCCATTATTCACTTTGTTCTTCTTTTTTTTTTTAAATAGCTGATGGCTAAACTTAATTGTACTGTAGATATTTGTGTTTTATTTGCTTTGAGACGTTATTCAGCAAGTATGCATGTATTATTTAAGACTCTTCTAATTTGTAATAGATAGCTTTGATATATATTCGGCTTGGGCTTCAGACTTTACATTTATAATGGAAAACCTGTTAGAAATGTAGGACTATTAGTTTAAAAGAGGCGTTCAATGACAAGAAATATAATTTGTAGGATCCAGTGTTTTATGAGCTTGACAAACACAGAGACTATCTCACTTCTTCTATCCTCTGCCTTTTGTGAGGCCCCTGATACTAAAATGGCTGGAATACTCCTTTTTAATACAACAATAACTCTTAATCTAACTATTATGTGAGGAATCTGTGTGTTTGTAGGTGCATCACATTTATCCGTTCCACTTCACACTTGGTTGCCAGGGCCCCAAGGGAGTGTCAGTGCCAGATGTGGTGTTTTTTGGCCAGATGGTAAAATTATAACAACAAAATTGGCCTGAAACTTTTGGACCGTAAGTTTCAAAAACAAAATCTGTCCATCAAGTTGAATCTATCCGTGAAAGCCTCGCCTGAACCTATTGCCACCTAGATTTTCTTCTTTACATCTTGAGCAATGGTCACCAGTTTTGATACAGGACATCTTTTGACCAAACCAGGAAAAGTCACCGTTTCGTGTTTTTGATGTTCCTGACTGTTTTGCTAGCTGGCCCTTATAACCATAACCGTCTCATATCCTGTACGTTTTGCGCTACTGCAACCATGTTTATAATAATAATAATAATAATAATATATTATATTTCTATAGCGCTTTTCTTGAACCCAAAGACGCTTATGAGACGAGTGTAGATACAGTATGTTGTCTGAGCGTCTATGACCAATTTTGTGTCATTTTGTCAACACGTGGCGCTGTAGCAGTATCATATAAATATAAAGGAAGGAATCTCTTTCTCCAGATGTGCACTCTATATGTATCACTGTCCCTGGCATTTTTCAAAAAACGATGATCCAATCAACATGTTTAATGCTGATTACCCAAGGGAGTGCAGTTTTGAGTGCCAACTTGATTGGATTAATGGTTAATGACAACTTGTCAAGTGCACTTCCGGGTCCAAACAATAGGCTCAACTCAAAATGGGCACGGTCTCCAAACAGCCACCTCCTGAAGAGGCACTGCACTAGTAATCATAATTGCAACGGGCATTTTGACAAATTGCACAGTTCATGTGCTAAATAATGTTTACTTTACATTGGAACTTCCAAGGGAGATGTTCTGTTTCAAAACTGGAAAAGATTGCTCAAAATGTAAAGATGTAGCGGGGGAAAGAGACAAAAAGATACATCTGGGTAAATAGGTCCAGTCTTTTATGGATAATTTCGCATTGATGGTCATATTCTGTTTAAAATGTGATGGTATTTCAGTGTAAATATATATTTTTATAAATCAGGACAATATTAAGAAAAACTCAATGAAATTAAAAAAAAACACCACATCGAATAAAAAAATATATGTATTTACAGAAATGTCCCTGTATAAACAGCAAGATCAAAAGTAGTTTTAATTGCAGAATACATTTATTGATTGCATACGAAAGATAGCACAGACTGAAATGTAGATATTGGCATGCTGATCAATTCTCCCCTCGAGTGACGCACTGGTGCCAGATTAATGCGTGCGTCAGTGAAAGGACAGATGCTCAATCATTTCTGGCCTGATGCCCTTTTTGGCAGCTGATTTTTGTTTTGCCTTTGATGCTCTGCCCGCCCCCTCAGGTGCCCTCATATTTTACCCAGAGTGCATAGAGCGAGGGAGAGAGAGAGAGATGGGTGGCAGAACGGCCGGTGTGCTGGAGGTGGATGACCGAGAAGTGCTCATCTGCTCCGGCCAGCTGTAGACGGTAGAGACAGTGATTAGTAGGATGAGTTACAACCAGCCGTCGTGTCGTTGTTTATACATAAAGATTAAACACACCGGAAACATCAACCGTGACCGCCTCCCCCTGTCCTGACAGCCGGAGTCCTCTGCACCGACACGGACACGCTCGCTGCCCGCGGTACCGACGGGGAGCCTCGGTCCTGCAGGCGGGCTGCTGCTCGGTCTCCGGACCGAACATCTAAAAATCCAAAACATTTTTATGTGACAGCCCTGTCGCGTTGATAGACGTGCGAAAAAACAAAGGAGACTGATGCTGATCCCCTCTGTGAAATCACCTTCGCGGTTCACCTTGGAAATAAGAAAGTAATAAAGGAAAACGCATGAAAGGTAAGACTGAGGTTTTCATGAGGATGTTTTTATTGCAGCTGCGTGTGTGTGTTGATTTTGAATGAGAAATTGTGCTATGTGGTGTTTTCCATGAGTCCAGCCTGGTGTTATGAAGCTGTCATTCCCTTGACTTGCAGGATAATGGACTATGATGTGAAACTGGATCACTGAGGTGGCACTTCATCTATCAAAGTTTCTACTTTTAAAGTGAATTCATTACAACCCCTTCTGACCACCATTAGTCAGAGCTCTGTTTTCCAGGTTACTACTGTGGTCACATGAGATTCTCTGTTATATTCATTTGCATGTCATGAATGATTTACAGAAGTGTATAATTTCTGAGGGCACACACACAAAATGGTGGGAGTCTTCCTCCTCCTTGTGACCTACAGGGAGTGTTGACATTGTCTGATGTGCTCCGGTATCAGCTGCTATGGCGCGATGTACACTCCCATGGCATCCCATAATGAGCAGTCTATTGCTCTGTAAAAGGGTCAGGAGGCTAATTAATGTTGCCAGGCAACAAGGATATAATCCAGGTCGGAGGTACAAAGTTATTTCCTCAGATCAGGGGTGGATAATAACTAAGTGCATTTCATTCACTACAGTATAATTATCTGACAGCTGTGGGTTACAGCCTTACAGATTCAAAATATAACATATAATCAATCATGATTTAATAAAGCAGTATATCAAGTGGTCAGAAATAGCCACACCTTAACAAGTTATAATTGAAATGCTTGCACATCTTTGTACATTTTCATTTTAAACCAATGCCATCAATATGATGCTTATACGTGTTGTGTACTTTACCTTGAGAATACATAGAAGTATTCACCTACTCACAGATTATTTATACACTGATAATTATTCACACTTTCACTTTATTATTATATCCGAGCACTTCTTCTGTCACCGCCTCAGCCCGAGTGCTTACTCATGATAACGTCATCGGTGATGTCTGGGCAGCTTGATGTGGAGAGGACAGCTGCTCAATATGATGTGATACATTTACACCACTTCCGCTCTGCTGTTACACCTGTTTCCCAATAACGACTCACTGATTGATGTTGAGGAGCTTTTTGCAAGCCACACTATCTAATTTGAATGTCAAATGTGTCTTTTCCTTACAGCCCTTTGGAGAAGAATGTGTGTAATCAGCAGTGTCAATTGACATTTAATACTATAGTAGATTTTTGGAGGTACTTGTATTTGACAATTTAAATATAACCTTATACTCTACTACATCTCAGAGGCAAATATTGTACTTTTTTGTCCTTTACAGTTTCTCATACTTAATGTGTAACATGTTACTTTGCAGACTCAGATTATTGATAATAATCAACAAATCAACTCTGATCTATTATTTTAGCTTAAGATAAGACTTTATTCATCCCCAGTTGACAAAATCAACAAGCTACCCATCTGTATTTAAATAAGACCTTTACCAGCTGCAAAATCAAAACATTAATGCATCAATCATTAATAATAATGGGCTATTCAGTATAATGAATGCTTTTACCTTTGGAACCTTAAGTAAATCTTGATGCCCTTTTCTTTGTAACATTTTGAATGCAGGACTTTTACTTGTAATTTCTGTTCTGTAGTATTGCTACTTTTGCTTAATTGTAAAATCTGAGTACTTCTTCCACCTCTTGTTATAATTATTCTCATACTTCCTGTTGCAGGTTGATCATGCAGCAGCAACCAATCAGCACCGACCATTTTGGGCCCAACATGCAGCCTGGACCCTGTGCGTTGATCGGATTCGGTCCTGGTTTACCTCCACAGCTCACAACCCAGGAACCAATACTGTTCAGCCAATCAGAGGAGCCCAAGAAACAGTCTTTATTGAGCCCCATGCAGGCTGTCAGAGTGACTAACGAAATGCAGTCAGGGTACCTAAAATCTGGGTCCACTGCAGCGACACTGATGAGCATAAGCCGCCCGAGACCCACCGCTTTGGGAACAAAACCTGCTTATAAGTCTCCCAGAATCTTAGAGGACCTCTCCAAGGAAATAGATTTGATCCCAGTTTGTATCCCAGGACCTCAGAGTGCCAACCACACGTCGCATTCGCAGACTGAGGCCTCCCTCTGCCGCCTCAGTCCTCAGAGCCCCCGCAGCCCTCAGCCTTTCACCAGCCAGCCTTACCTGAGCTCCTCCAATACCCTCAGCCCTCAGCCACAGAGAACCCCCTCACCTGGGGGCTCCTCACCAAGCCAAGAGCAGCCCAAGAAGCCAGGAGAGAACAATAACTTCAGGTAGACATTTCTTCATCCAGTGGTTAGAAAGGATTGAGTACTGTGAATGTTCCCTGTTGTGTCTAAATGCAGCTGCAGTCAGCGGCTGGAAGGAAACTGATGTGTCCCAGACCATGTCACATGCATCAAGGCTGCCAAGAGCTTTGTGAACCTGACAGAGTGACACAGCCACATTTTATTGGCAGGCTTCCCAGAGGCATATTTGAGTTGTGATGCCCGCTCACTCACATGCCCCTTTCAAACCAACGCGGTTCAAGTTCTAGCTCCGTGCTAGTGCCACTTCTGGTTCGGAATCGTTTTTTCTTTTGAGCCCCCGCTTTGTTCACACCGCCCAGATCCCGACTGGTGCTGCCGCTGCTGCTTCATGACGTCACCGTTTACGTCGCTGATTTTCTCCCCAACGGCGCTCACAACAACAACAATGGGGGACTGCGTTG